TTCTTTTTCTTCTGTGCGGAACTCTACGGCAAATATCGAAAAATGGCGCAGTGCTCCGGCAGAACAGAACAGAATAATAGAACGAGAGTGTCGTGAACTAATGCAGCTGTTGGGAATCGAGAAGAGATGAAGTACGAATTAAAATCTTCACTTAACGCGAAAGGCTACAAACGCTTAACATTTAGGAACCAGTCATAATTTATTGCCGGATAAGGGGAAGGGAAGGGGGGTTCGGAGGATTTTAGTTGTGTCACGATAAAATTTACCTGATCCCCCACAAGGCTCTGTAATATTCTCATCACCCCAACCCCCTCATTAGCAGTTAATTGGCAAGCGATTTCCTAGTATATACTTCCCTTTATACTCTGTTGGCGACGACTGATCCCCCCGTTCCCCTGAAAACCATGTGATCTACCTCAAAATCCCAACCCCCCCCAACCCCTTAGACGTACGATAGACGACCCGACGACTAATCCCTTGGAGTCATTTTTGACTGAGAGTCCAAAGCAACCCAGGATTGCAATCGTGATATCGTGTTTTCTCGACCACACACTGTACCTGATTGAACACCAGTCTCGCGTAGACGCTTAAGAAAAACTGCAATCCTTTCACTCCCAATATCTGATTTTTAACTCTCCCCTCTAGCTGCAAGACATTTCCTTGTATATTGGGTACGACAATTTGTTTAGACAAGATAACAACTTCTACCTGATAAGTTTAAGTATTCTCATCACCTGTTTGGGGGATAATGTATGGATATTGTAGGCAGAAGTTACATTTACATCACTTGTGGGAGTTCAAGGGTTAAGAAATAAATGCCATGGCGCGTAAAGACCTCGGTGTTTGATCAGGTTCCCAGCCTTTACCTGTGGTGGAGCTCAGAGGTAAATATACTCGATTGAATAGAACTACTGCTAGTTTTACTTCATTCATTCATTCATTCTTTATTCACACTTATTCTACTAAAAATACAACAATGAGAAAGAGAAAAAGTAAAAAAAAAAAAGAAGAGAGTTCTAACTATACATGAATTTACACAAAGCAGTGGAAAGAGTGTGTAGTAGCCACAGGAGCCAAGCTTTCGAGTTGGCCACTACCACAGAGCAATTACAGATGGGTGAAAGTTAAATACACTTAAGGAGATAGTACATATACTAAATAGTTAAAATAGTAAAATAGAGCTCTATGATAGGTTAAAGTTATTCAAGATGTCTGCCTGCCAAGTAGGAAGAGTTTATATTCTTTTTTGAAGCTTTTGGCAGCGAGACACTTTATTTTAATAGGTATCGTTTGCCAGATCTGTGATGCCACCACACTAAATCTTGCTAGACCATAATTGGTTCTAGAGAATGGTCTGTACAAGTTTTGATTAGTGGCATACCTAGTAGAGTAATTATGGACAGCTGAAGCTGGTTGGGCTAGATCATAGAGGACTGGAGGTATATTCTTTTTTTGATATTGAATTTTATGCACAAGAGAGCCAATTTTTAATTTAAAAATATTCTCTAATCTTAAGATTTCTAATAGTGTGAAATATGGTGTAGAACTTTCTCTTTTGCTAGCAAAGAAGATGCTGCGGATACCGTTGTTTTGACTTATTTTGATTTTATTTAACCTGGTTTGGTATGCAGTTCCCCAGCACATCAATCCATATGTTAGATATGGATATATGAGAGTATAGTACAGTTGTTTGAGTGTGCTCACAGGTAAATAATGTCTAAGCTTAAATAGAATTCCGATGTTTTTTGTTATTTTATTGTTTATGTGCTGGAGCTGAGCATCCCATTTTAAATGTTCATCAATAAAAACCCCCAAATATTTTATCTGAGATTTTTGTTCTATATTGCAAGCTGTTATTCTGATATTTGTTCTCTTTTTAAGTGAAGTAATAATCATATAATTAGTCTTCTTGAAATTAATTGACAGCATATTTGCTGCACAGTATTTTAAGACCTTTCTAAGTTCTTCATCAATAACTGATTGGAGCTGCTCAGGGTCTTTTGAAGAATAAAACATATTTGTATCATCTGCAAAAATCCTAAAANTTCTAAGTCGCAAGAAAGTAGCAAGAGAGTCGCAGCTAAGTCGCAAGGAAGTAGCAAGAGAGTCGCAGCTAAGTCGCAAGAAAGTAGCAAGAAAGTCGCAGCTAAGTCGCAAGAAAGTAGCAAGAAAGTCGCAGCTAAGTCGCAAGAAAGTAGCAAGAAAGTCGCAGCTAAGTCGCAAGAAAGTAGCAAGAAAGTCGCCGCTAAGTCGCAAGAAAGTAGCAAGAAAGTCGCAGCTAAGTCACAAGAAAGTAGCAAGAAAGTCGCAGCTAAGTTGCAAGAAAGTCGCAGCAAAGTCGCAAGAAAGTAGCAAGAAAGTCGCAGCCAACTCGCAAGAAAGTAGCAGCTAAGTCGCAAGTGAAAAAAAAGAGAGAGGAAAGTGTATGCCCCTTTGAAGCCACCGTACGTTTCACGCCTTACCGACTCTTGACACTTCTTAAAAGGAAAACTCGCTTTTAAATCATATTTGCGTTCGACAAAGGACACGTTCATAATGTAGTCGAAATCGACATTTTTGAACTATGTATTCATGGACAACAATTTGGCCCCCCCAAAAATTATTCAGGGGCGAATGACGTCATTTCCATCGACCATGTGTTTTGTTTCTAGCAGGAGTCGAGTTTCACGTTTTGCCTCGCGTGTTGGTGTGCCTGCTTGTCCCAAATGGTCGAACGCTTCTCCCTAATCTCTGATTATTGCCAGTTTTATTGTAAACTGCATTTATCAAACTTTCTTTTGATCTATAGTTTTCAAAGATTTTGATGAAACTAGCGCGCGTACAATTTTTTCCCAAAGGACACCCGCGAAGGTGGGAAGTAATCTTAACAAGCTTTTTCCGAGATTCGCCATGATTCTGCTTTTAAAACAATGGAAGGTCGAGGTTAACTAGTTCTAAAGATATGAGAGTATATGCAACAGGTTGTTTATTCTCAAACGAATAACCCCTATTGGATCTTTAACTGGGCTTCACTTTACGTTTCGGGTCAGTACTAAAAGAAATAATTTGGATATATCAACAAAGTTGAAATAGTAAATTGGCCACAGTAACGATTACAAAAGCTGACGTTTCGAGCGTTAGCCCTTCGTCGGAGCGAAGGAGAACTTTCTCAGGCGTCAAAATTTCTCTTCATGGTAAAAGCTACTAGTTTCTTGACTTCTACATTTTCTTTGCTCTTTCTGATTAACAAGCTATTTCCCAGACTCGCCACGATTCTGTTTTAAAACAATGGTAGGTGCGAGTACTTTGATACGCGAATGATTATCAATTCTTATGCGAATTAAAACTCAATTGCCAAACAAAAGTTTTGCACTAAGCTCGTGGTTTTGAGTTTGCTATTGAATACAAATTAAGGAATATTGAACAATCTACTTACTCTTAACCAATCACAAAGAAGTATTCTTTTCAGTGGCAATAATATTTCTCCATAAGATCTAGTTCGTTAGCACCGACTCCATAGTTCCGTGTCAATGAAAAAAAAAACAAAGAAAACGTAGCGAGGTGTTCTGAAAATAGTGTTGGCAGTTATCCAATCTTCGCTTTTTCTTATTAGGACCCAGTTGTTCGAAGGCTGATTAGCACTAACCCAAGGTTAAATTCTAATCAGGGTTTCTTTAATCCTTTGTTCAAAAGTCTTTTTTGGGGATAATATTCCTTACACTTTCTAGAGCATCCAAACACCAAGTTGTAGACAAAAAGAATTCCACTGAAATTCCTTTTAAAGCTTTCAGATCTTAAATCAGATTTTACAGTAACCCTGGGTTATCTTAACCCAGCTTTGAACAACTCGGCCCAGGAGATTAAGATCGGTTTGGATGGAGTAACCGTGTTTTTGCGAAAGACATCTTACACACTACGTGGGTAAATAAAGTATTGATTGATTGATTGATAGGAGCCTCCAGGAAACTTTCAGTAAGGTACACATTTATTAGTCTCCTTCGCAGCCTTTGTTTGGGCTCGTCACCCAACGCTCCCTCTCCCACAAACCATGGGAGGGAGGGAGCGTTGTGTTACGAGCCCAAACAACGGCTGCGAAGGAGACTACACATTTATTAACAAAGTTTAATTAATGCCACAGTAACTCAGTGCAGCTCAATTATGAAAACAGAATCGTACTTGAGAATTTCCCGCGCGAAACGTTTTCCCAGAAAACATGCAACTGTGCGAACAGGAGCTGTTGGAGCCTGTCGCTCGCGAGAGTTTATTTTTGAGTGCTTCGTGAACAGAACTTGTCCCGTACGTTATTCTGTGAATGTCAAAGAAAATAAGAATGTTAGGTATCCCAGAAGCACTAAGGCTTTACTGTGAATAGCAGAACTTCCGTTCAGCCTGGGTGAACCAGAAAAGATAAACAACACTTCCCCCTATTGACCATGAATGAAAAAAATAAGTATGTTATATATAACAGAAGCACTCAGGCATTACACTGAATGCCAGGACTTCAGCTTAGGTGAACCAGAAAGGATAGACAACACTTCCCTATATTGACCATGAATGAAAAGCTATGTATGTTATAAATCCCAGAACTGCTCAGGCATTACACTGAATGCCAGGACTTCAGCCTGGGTGAACCACAAAGGATACACAACACTTCCCTATATTGATCATGAATGAAAAGCTAGCTATGTTGTATATCCCAGAAGCACTAAGGCATTTCACTGAATGCCAGGACTTCAGCCTGGGTGAACCAGAAAGGATAGACAACACTTCCCTATATTGACCATGAATGAAAAGCTATGTAAACCACCGTGTTCAACCAGCGGCATCCGAAATTAAAACAGAATCCAACCTAAAGCCACCATCGAAAGGTCGATCTACTAGCGACCTTCACTCCGTGTCATTCATAGTTAAGCCGAAGCAAGACAAAGAGGACCGATCTCCTTCCAAGGTTCGTACTGTGTCACACGCAGTTCGGAAAGCCTCGACCTTTCGTTCAAAAAACCGAACTTCACCCGAGGCACAACGGACTTTTTCGACCTCAACAAAGTCCGTTGATCTGGTATCGAGGACGCAACCCGAACGCCACCGAAGCCTCCTTATCTATGGAGCCGACCGTTTAGGCACAACATTCACCACAAAAATGTTTGCCGAAGATTCACAGCTGATGACCGTTTATGAGCCATTATGGATAACAAAGAAATGGAACAAAGAAGACATTAGTCAGATACCGAATTGGACCAAAAACGTTCTCGATCTTCTACGAGGAATTTTAAGTTGTAAGTTCTCTGAAACTGCTGCTGGCGTTAAATTCCTCTCGCAGTTTCAAAGTTCATGTACGCGGACGATACGTCAATTTTCAGCATCGGAGAGTCTGCAGACGCAGCGATTGCTTCCTTGAACTGTGCTTTGCAAGAGGTCTACAGGTGGTGCCTAGAGAATCGCTTAACATCTCACCCCTCTAAGAGCGAAGTCATGTTAATTAGTACACCAACCATTATAGGACCGCAACCTCTAATATTTTTGGGTAAATCTGTTTTAGGCTATGTCAAAAAATCGCGTCTTCTTGGAATGATTTTAGATGACAAGCTTACTTGGATACCGCATGTGCTAGAACTAAAGAAAAACTTTGCGAACAAAATAGACTTATTGAAGCGCTTAAGGTTCTTGGCCCAAAATGTCCTTTTAAATTTTATTTTAGTGTAATATTACCTTCTATGAAGTATGGTACAATATTATGGGGTTCGTGTACAAATTCGGATCTTCTGTACTCAACTGAGAAACTTCACTGTAGAGCAGCAAAAATTGTCTACAACTTATCCAAAGATACGGAATCTAAAGTAGCTCTCGACGTTTCAGGATGGATATGATCAATTTAGAATACAAATTTCAAATAGTTAACCTTTTTTATAGAGCAAGTAAAGTCTCACTACCTCAGTCTCTAATTGATAGCATATTCATATGGCGGGAAAGTAGCTATTCACTAAGAGACCAAGAAGCAATAACCACACCTAGATTCAACACTAGATTATTAAAGGACTCTTTAGCATATAGAGGTTCGGTGCTATGGAACTATGTTAACCATCATGTCAAAAATGTAGGTAGTTTCGCCCTTAAGAATCTTAGGAGGCTACTCAGGAGAAACAATCACTTCACAAGCTTTACTTTTACTACTTTATCAGGTTCGATGGCTAGGAATAGATTAACTGATCACAAGTATTTTTAAGTTGGGAGGAAATGGAAAGTTTTATTGTATTATAGTTTCTTATTTAGTTTGAAACGTGTCTTAGTATACTCATAAGTTGGCTAGATCCTATTTTGTTAAGTACACGATCCCACAAGCTTTTTAGCTTTAATTCTTATCGTGTATAAATAAAGATTCTACTACTACTACTACTACTACTACTACTACTACTACTACTACTACTACTACTACTACTACTACTACCTCACGGCAATGGAGTGGAGCATATGTTAAAAATCCTTTTCGGTCTCAAAACTTTTGCCCCAACTGGGAATGTAGAGATCTTGCTAGTAATCCCACATACGCCGACATAGTATGCCTAACAAAATACAATCACAGTGTAACCAAAATAGGGGAGCCCAGGACACCCAATGGTTTAATTTCGTCTTTTCTTCCAAAGCTATTCCTAGAGAATCCCGACACCGACATCCGGGTTATCCAGCTTATTCGAGATCCCAGAGCGAGTTTAAGATCCCGGATTAAGCTAAAATGGATGGTAGACTGGAAGCATTCCAGTTTTCCAAACGTAGTCAGAAAAATATGTTCAAACTTGGCCACAAACATCAAGTTTGGCCGAAATCTGGGCAAATGGCAAGACAAGTACTTAGAAGTACACTATCATGATCTAGCTGGAAAACCGCTGGAAACGACAAGAGCTATGTATGAGTTTGCAGAATTTATAATGCCCGATAGCGTTGCTGACTGGGTTGTTCGCAATACTTCACCAACCAAAGAAGAATTGATGAAGGAAAAAAACAATATCTTCTCGNCAACTGTCGGCCGGCAGTATGCCAACTGTCCATCAAACTAAGTATCCCAAGTGAGATTTAAAGACATGTATTCCAATAGAAAGTGAAATACCATACTGCAAGCTGGAACTTTTTATGCATGTCAATGCAGAAATGCAGAGTTGTACCTACCCCCCAATATTTGCTTTGCTCTTTAGGAAACACTCAGCAAAGGCTTCCCCAAAAGGAACATCAGGAGAGGCACATTCCTACAAATAAATTGCATGTATCACTCAATAATGAATTAACTGAGCTAAAGTCATATAATGTTCACTACTAATGGTAGATATATAATCACTGTTCACCACAGATAAAATATGTTCACTTTTATGGACACCTTTCGTCTGCCTTTCTGTAAAGTCAAGAAAGCCAAGAAAGCTCTCACTAATTGATTATAAATAAATTGCATAACAAATACCAGTAGGCTGAATATGTTTTGTGTTATTGTATAATTCCACTATGATGCATGTCATTTAGCATTGCAGGTATAACCTACCTTAATAACTTTGCAGAATACACAGCACTCTGTGTCCAATCCTTGCTTGCAAAGTTCATTGATATATTTTTTGGCATCACCAGCTCTTTGCTTGAGCAGCATTATCAGTGTTTTGTAATCAAGAGTAACTGTCATGAAAAAAGACAAGAAGATAACAAGAAGTTGAAGTTAAAATAGCTACACCAAAGATCTCAAATGTTATACTTTCCCAGATATTTTCTAACACTGCCAAGCATAAAATGGATTCAATAATTACTATCACGTAGCTAGACATGTAACATAAAAACATTGCAAAAATAAAAAATAATAAGATAAAAAAAAATATAAAGAGTCAAGATCGGCACACACAAATAACCTGAAAATTTAACTTTAAAGCATCTTCCATTAACTTCTATTCCAGTTTTTTCAATGGCATCCCTCTGGCGATTTAAATCTTTTATCGTAGAAAAATAGAAATGAAATAAATTATAATACTTCAAGACCCTATCAAGGAAACAAACCCGAAATTTCACCTTAAGTAGCCATAAAAAGTGATCATAGCTAGAAGACTTAAAGGCTCATCTGGAGGAGAATGAAGCAATTCAACCCTTCGAAGTTTGAAGGGATCTATAACTGCACTTGACCGCAGGAAACTAAACATTCCCGCTTTTGCTTACGCATATTAATATGAAATCCAATCTCCAAATGTCAATAGGCCGATCCCGCCCCTATTAAAAAAAAGGCTTCATTGTACCCAGCAGGAACAGAGATTGAACAAATTCAAGCAACTACTCAGATTACTGCGAGCAATTATCCGAAAAAGGCTGTCAAGGTGATGATGGAAACTTATCTGGTTTATGACGTCACTCCATAGCAACCAGCCTTTTCGAATATTTGAACTTCCGTTTACCTGTGGCTCGTGATGTTGGAATATTTGCCAAGTTATATAAATTTGCTGTATGTCTTTGATGATTCATTGCTAGGGTGTAATGTATGCTTTGTTGAGGATCTACACTGAACTAAGTGTCTAAGAGACAAGAAATAAACCTGAAAATTTTAGTTTGCAACATATTTAAATTTCTGTAACATTTGGGAAAGTTAGTATGCAAGTTAGGAAAAATTAAAAATGCACCCCTCCTCTTGTCCTAAATGTGACCATGTAATCAAGGTGCACATTAGGGGTTTCATGGTATCTAACCATGTTAATGAATGTGAGTTCTATGACAACATTTTTGTTGAGGGGAATGTGGTAAAAGACATGAATTGATGGTAGAGACTAAAAGCAGGGGTATCATTAAGGGCTGGGCAATAGACAAATTGACCAACTTTGAGGACATTAAACGGTG